GGATGCTTGCTAATCATTGGTGAAAAAATTTTATTTCAAAATTTTAACTTGCATTTTTCTTTATACAGAAGAGGTTGAAGGCCATATGGTAGCACACACCTGTAATCCCAGTGGCTGGGGAGACTGAGGAAGGAGGATCTCAGCAACTTAGTGAGGCCTTAGCAACTCAGCAAGATCCTGTCTCTAATTAAAAAAAAAAAAAAATATATATATATATATATATATATATATATATATATATATATTTATAAAAATTTGTATTGACCACATACACTGTGTTTTTCTGTGAGGGTGAGTAAGAAAGACATATAATAAAGCATATATATATATATATATATATATAAATGAGCTGGGGATATGGCTCAGTGGTTTAGCACCCCTGGGTTCAATCCCCAGAATCAAAAAGAAGAAGTTGAACTTTTTTTTTCAAAACATTTTTGTCAGCTTTAATTCATTAATTAATTTTTATGTGGTTCTGAGTATTGAACACTAGGTTCGATATGCTAGGCAATCGCTCTATCACTGACCCACAACCCCAGCCCCTTGAACTTTTTTTTTTTCTTACGATTAAGAGTCATTTGTATTTCCTTTTGTATGAACTCCCCTCATTTTTCTGTTAAGATTTAGAATTTCTAGGCTGGGGATGTGGCTCAAGCTGTAGCACGCTCGCCTGGCATACGTGCGGCCCGGGTTCGAGCCTCAGCACCACATACCAACAAACATGTTGTGTCCGCCAAGAACTAAAAAATAAATATTAAAAATTTAAAAAAAGATTTAGAATTTCTAATTGCTAAGAGTTATCTCTTTAATATTCTTTCTCAGAATATTAAAGAGATAACTCTTTCTCCGTGATATGTGTTGAGGCTATTTCTTCCTTATTAATTATTTGTCTTCTGATTTTGCTTATCATGCCTTTTTAAATTTTTTTTTTTTTTGAGGTGCTAAGGGATTGAACCCTGGGCCTAGTGCATGTAAGGCAAGCACTCTACCAACTGAGCTATATCCCCAGCCCTGGTTTGTTTGTTTGTTTGCTTATCATGCTTTTAGCCAAACTTTTTTATAGTCATGTCTTCTGGATTTTGAGTATTACGAAGACCTTCTTGACTCTAGGACTAAAAAGCAATGTCCTGGGGCTGGGGCTGTAGCTGTAGCTCAGTGGTAGAGCACTTACCTTGCATGTGTGAGGCACMGGGWTCGATCCTCAGCACCACATAAAAATAAACAAATAAAATGAAGGCATGCTGTCCATCTACAACTACAAAATAAATACATACAAAGAAATGTCCTCATTTTCTTCTTGTTCTTTTTTTCAATTTTTTACAACTTTTTAAATATTTATTTTAGTTGACAGACCTTTATTTTATTCATTTATTTGTATGTGGTGCTGAGAATTGAACCCAGTGTCTCACACATGCAAAGCAAGTGTTCTACCACTGAGCCACAACCCCAGGCCCTCTTCTTGTTCTTTTATGATTGTATGGAATATATTTATACCATTTTAGTTTGGAGTTTATCTTTGTATATGGGATGAGGCATACACCCAATTTTATATTTTTTTCAGATGGCTATATTTCAGTGCCAATACATTTATGGAATAGTTCCATCTTAATCTCAGTGATTTGAAATGCTCTACCCCCCCCCACACATTTTTTATTGGTGCATTTTAGTTGTATATAATAATAGGATTTGTTGTTACATATTCATACATGCATACAGCATAACACTGTAATTTGGACAATTTGGATCCCCAGCACTTGCTCCCTACAACCCCTCCTCTCACCCCCTGGTCTCCCTACTTTATTCTGATCTCTCTTTGGAGATGTTGTCAGATACCAAATTCCTCAAATTGTTGGGTACAGTGGGGCATGCCTATAATCCCAGCAGCCCAGGAGGCTGAGGCAGGAGGACTGAAAGTTCACAGCCAGTCTCAGCAAATTATTGAGTCCCTAAGCAACTCAGTGAAACCCTGTCCCTCAATAAAATATAAAAAAGGATTGGGGATGTGGCTCAGTGGTTAAGTGCCCCTGGGTTCAATTCCCAGTACACACACAAAAAAGAGGAAAATAAAAACCAAAACTGTCTCTAAATTCCTCAAATTACTCCAGTGTGTTTCAGAATTTTCTATTATATTTCGTTGGACTATGCATGCACTAGCAATATAGTGTCTCATAAATTAAGGCTGGTAAGTCTAGTGTTCTTGTCACTTTTTTTTTTTTTTTTTGGAGCTGGGGATTGAACCCAGTGTTTTTACACATGCTAGGCAAATGTTTTACCACTGAACTACATTTCCAGCTCCTTTGTTATGCTTTATTTTCAAAGTTTTCCTAGAATATACACTTGCCTTTTATATTTCTTGTTGATTTCCCC